AAGAGGTGTAGGTGGATGCTGCAATCTTCTCTTTTTAAAGCAACATTCGAGGCTGCAGCCCTGAAAGCTTCTGGTGGGCTTGACCTCAGCGTAGCATCTGTGAGGCAGTTCTCCCCCAGGGACTACAAGACAGAAATAGGGACTAAGGAGCTTTTACAGAACATGGTGTTATTTAATTTTAGGGCAGAAGTGTTATAGAAACAATATAGAGGAAAGGAATAAACGTGCTCCACGTGTGCTAAGTGTATCACCGAGCCCATGGCATCCTGCAGGTTAACTCTTCAGCCTGTATGTGCCCTTCAGACCCCAGCTCAAGGCTGGTGCTCTTCAAATCACTCCCCTTTGTCTAACTTCTTGACAAAATATGTAATTACTCCCCTTAAACAGGCTTCCTAGTCTTGGGGTTTGCAATAATTACTGCTAGCTGAGCCAGGAAACTGCTGTTACCTACCAGTTACGCTCTTGATAGCGTGTCTATGGTGAATGCTGCCTGTATGGATGGCATTTACAGCCCTTCAGTACCATAGTCCTTGACATTTGTGTACATGTAAGGACTTCTATCTGTCAGTAAAAGTATACGTGCCTTTCTACAGTTAATTTGTGATTTCCTTTCCCGTTTACAGTTTGGAACAGCAATTTTATTACGATTTAATGAGGCTGATGTTTTTGTTCTTTTAAATGCTCTGCAGGAGTGCACAGAACTGATTTTGAATCAGGCTGTGTTTTTCCTTTCTTTACCACACTCTGGGAGGCCAGAGTTCAGGTACAGAAACTTTTTTCAAGTTGAGAGGCAATTTAAATAGCATTGTTGAAATTGTAGGATGACATGGTCCAATGCCTTTATGTTGGGAACGGAGAGCATAGCTGCCTTCATAGCAGGCGTGGTGGGATGCCTTTCTCTGGCTGTGACAGTCCCTTTGTAGGACTGCTAAGTGTTTCTTGACCATCTCCAGTCGAGAAGACGACAAATTTCATACCCAAACTTCAGAAAAAAAAACCAAAACAACAAACCAAACAGCCCAGGCCTGATGAATAGAGCTCTTCTCACCTGGGAGATAGGCTGTACGTGTTTCGAGGAGAAGAGAAAAATCTGTGAGCGGTACTCAGCCTTTCCACAAAGCCTGGAAGAAAAAAGAGAAGGAATGGGATCTGATTAAATATGTTTCCTTTGGAAAAAATTCATCGTTCAAACATAAAATGTAAAACAGGCTTAGTGATTGTCTGTGAAGTAACTCCCCACTTGCATGACTGAGTTTGAAATGGCCTCTGTCAAACCTCTGTGGGCACGACGCAGGTTCGTATTCCTGCCTCCGCTATGGATTACCAGCTCTGTGCAGGTGAATCAGCTCAGGCTGCTGCTGCATGTTAAAAATACCATCACTTCTCCCCGCAAGGAAAGCTGTACAGCCAGAACGGAGCAAGAAACAGAAGTATTGATTTTTGAAAAAATTATTATTATTAATGCAATGCTTGCAATTAAGGAGCTGTCCAAAGAATGTGTTTGGAGATTTTCTATCAGAAGGAAATGTGTCAACACGCTGAAGCTCATGTGTGCGTGGAGAGGCTCCTGCAAGGCTCGCAGGGTGGGTGCCCTGTCGTCACAACCCAAAGGGTCCTATCAAGAGCCTTAGCTTGTCTTAAAACCAGTTATAACTCCTGCTCCTGTGGCCCAACTAGAGACCTCTTGCGCAATTTTATCCCTCTTACCCTTACACAGCGTCTTCTTGTTTTTATTCTAAGCCGAATTTATTCCCATTTGTTGCCCAAGCATTTTTCAGCTCTAAGTAGCTTATTCACTTGTACTCGCTGGTGTTTACCCCAGTTGACCCCCAAGTACTTACAGAGAACAATCCCATCCCTTCTCGGTCCTCTTTTCTTTAGGCTAGACACATCAGGTGTTACCTGCGTTTCTATCTAGGTCAGCTCAACATTGAACTGCCTTTGCCAGAGCAGCCGCGGGGGTTCCTGAGCGAATGTGCTGCAATTATCCTGTGCCCCTGCTCCTTTCCACGGGCAGGACCTGGCCGGGTGCTGTTCCTTGTGCTGTGCCGTAAGCCCAGGCTGCCCGTAATGAGCTGTGGGAGCTCAGCCAGAGGGGAGGTTATGAAATAATAGTGCTTTGGAAAACTGAGACGAAGAGTTCATTTTCAGTTTTCATTGAGGAAAATCTGCAGTCCTTATCAAAGTTAAGATTTTTGTCTTTAAAACGATTGATTTTTAGAGGAATCTTTTTTCCTTTCAAAAATGTGGCGTCTATGTATTGTTATTCCCAACCAGTCCTTCCTGTGTTTCCCATCAATGATGCTACTAATTTTGCTTGTGTGCTTTCTCTTTACTTAATCTCTTAAGAATTTATGTATTTTTGAATCACATTTTTTATTCTCACCTTTCCTCCCTCTGTCCTTTTTCCTTATCTTCCAACAGATGGTAAACTGAAGATGTGGGTATATGGAGTATCAGCTGGTGGGTTCCTCATCATGGTTTTCCTTATTTTTACATCCTATCTGATGTGGTGAGTATGGCATGTATTTTGTCCTTAAATAAAAACTAGTTTGCTTTTGTTATATATCACAACGCTCTGCGTTGCAGAGATTTAACCCTCAAGGCTTCAGGAAGGGATGGAGCTTGGATTACTTAACTGCCTTCATTTGGCCCCTACCTCTGAGTAATTTAAAAGTCTTCCAATTGTAAATGTTAACAGACGTAATTGTGAAGAAGTATGGTGGCCGTGCAGGGAAAGAATTTGTTTTGGTTATCAGTAGGCCCTTATATTTATTCAAACTTCTGCTGGGATTAGAAAGGGCTTTTTATTGTATTCTTTAAAAAAAAAGATAAAGTAAAACTGAAAAAAGGCAAAGAGGCTGATTGGATCGAGGAGCTGGCTTCTGCTCAAGGAAGGACTAAATAGAATAGGGGCATTCAGTTGGAAAATGATGTTTGACGTGGGAATACAATAGAGATCTATGAAATCATGAATGGAGTAGAAAAGGGCACTAGGGAATTTTTATTTCCCACAATATAAGAAGTAGGAGGCATCTGATGAAATGATTGTTTAAAATAAACAAAAGATTTTATTTTTCGCACAGTGCGTTATTACCTTGTGAGCTTACCGCTGCCGGGGACTGTGCATGCCAGGAAGATAAATGGCTTCAAAGATGGCATAACAGTTCACGGGAGATTGGGTCTCTTGGTGTTAATTGTGGTTTTCTGGATGTACGCTCCAGCTCAGGAAATCCCTAAATAGGTTTTTTTGCAGTGCATACATCAAGTGGAAACATGTCCTGTGTCTAGAGCTGCTGTTACCACTCACTGTTAGAGACAGAGTACCAGGGGTACCTAAGCCCTGGTCTACACCAGTGCGTCACTGGTTCTGGGCTTTACTGGTGGGGGAGATATCCGCCCTCTTCCAAAGCAGCCGATGCCCCGGGCAGGACTGGTAGACCTGGCTTGACAGAGCTAGTGTTGCACTGTCTGGTTTGAATATTTGGAAAGACAGTGTCATTGATACATCTTGGAGGATCCGAAGGGAGCAGTGGCCAGCGTCCGTGTGTCCTGCAAAGCCCACAGCTCTCCCTGAGGACCATGGAGCTGGCCTGGGCTTTAGGAGCATTAATGGTGCAAGCTGTCAGGTCAGGGCAGGCGACCAGAGGGTCACAACTGTGGCCTGACAGGGCCGTTCATTGCCCTCTTTCATCCCAAATCAGTTTATTCTCTCTCACTCTCTTTGTCTTTCTCTCAGTCTCTCTCTTCAGTTAAAAGCTTGAACAGCAGCATTTGGATGCTGCTTAGGAGTTGCAGCTTTGTTATTTTCCAAGCCATGTAGCTAGCATTTCTCTGTGGCTTCACAGTGGAGGATACAGAGGACTTTTTGAATAACATGACATAGTTCTCCCTCACTCGAAGGCTGGTGAGGAAGTGTATTTCTCAATAATAATTATTGTCACGTCAATACCATGCCAAAGAAAAAATGAGGATATCCTCCTCCTAGACAGCTCATGTTTCAATTTTTCTGCGAGGTGTTCCTTGTTTTGTCAGCCGTGAGAAGACACGGGAGACAAATATGCTTTATTTCCTCTCCAGATGAAGAGCACAGTTGGCTGCCCGTTTTCAGCAGGCTGTGTGTCCGTACCACACACGTAATAGCTCACAGGCAGGTCCACGTAGTTTTTCTTGGAAGTAGTCACTGTACTGCAGTGTCACCTAGTTGCAGAATGAAATAGCTGGCATGGGAAGTTGTTTTTTGGTTTTTTTTTGTTGAAGTTTGGGTTTTGATGGCATTTCCAAGCTTATTGCAGTTTATAATTTTGTCTCCTGAAATATTTTTCTTGCAGCAAAAAAACAAAGCAGCATCAAAGCCCTCCTCCGCAGCAGAAGCCTCTAACCTTAGCCTATGACGGAGACATTGATATGTAACATAAAAAAGAAACCCAAATGTAGACATCGACTGCCTTAACTGCTTTCTTTTTTGGAACTCTCCGACTTCTCAGTTTTTTGAGGAATCTCCTGATGTGTAATATACTGGGCAGAACAGAAGTATTGCAACCTTAAAATTTTGCCACTTCTTTATTAAGAAAAAATGGAGTCAAAGACTTGGATCTTGTGAAACTTTTCTGAAGAGACCAGAAAATACATCTCTTCCTGTTGAGCAATGGGAAAAAAAAAAAAAAAAAAAAAGGAGAATCTACAGACATCAAAAGGAATTAGTGAAAAAAAAAAAAAGGCATGACAATCCTGAGGAAAATGTGACATTTACTGTAAATGACAAGTTTGACACAGCATCATTATGCACTATATTAGTGCAGGGTTCTTTATTCTTCACATATTTCAACAATGAGTTTTCTAGTGTTTACATTTCGTTCAAAGACTTTAAAACCAGATCATATATTTTGAGAAACACAAGGAAGAATGAGTTGAAGTGTCTGAAGTTATCAGGTTTTTTAAAGTTTCTTCCTTCTTATCCTGTTTTCTAGTCTGGAATATGATTTTGCTTCATTTCCACCTACAGGACAGAATAAGGATTGTTATGAAAAAGCATAGGTGGTTTCTTAACCAAGAATATTTTTTAAAGAGTTGAGTAGATAGGTGTTTTGATGAATGGCTAGAGGATTTGATTCTTTAAAAAGTATTTTAAATTAAATTAAACCATGTAGATACATTATGGCCAGTTTAAATTGTTATTCAGTTTAATTAATACAAACTCTGCTTTTGTATTTAAATTTTCTTATCTGAAATATTTATAAATTCTTTTTTTGAATTTAATTACCTGACCTCATTTAATATACATCGAACACAAATGCAGTTTGTAGAGGGTCTTGCTTTTTTAAATGTTTTCAAACCACTGAGAAGTTAACGTGTCGTAAACATCTGGGAAAATTTGAAGAGGGTAAGTGTTTATAATAGTGTGTGTCGCAAGTAAGAAAGTGCCATCTTGTGGTATTGACTTGTATTTATAAGCAAATAAAAAGCTAAAGAGAGTGAGAAGATTGCTTCTGGTATGTTGAATTAAATGTGTGTAAACAACATTCGTTATTAGTCTTTTACTGTGTTGGAGATTGGACTCGGATTTCAGACAATTCTGGCATATTTTGTGCTGTAGTGATTAGTGAATTAGAATTAGTGAAAAGAAATATTGTAGACAAGGACAAGACGAGAGAGTAATTGCAGGTCTCGAGAATGCTTGGTCTTATTTTTAGCTCAATGCTGCTGCTTATTCCAATAATTAGAAAGAAAAGAAAAAAAAAGAACTGTTACCAGCCTAGCATCTCTTCAGCCCTTCTCAATCCGCAGTTACTTCAGAGCGGATCATCACACGAGAAGGGTATAACTAGGGCAGAAAGTAATGTTCGTCGTGTTATGTTGCTATTCAGGGCTTTGTAAAGGGATTTGAATATTACGGTTTCATTGAAAAAATGATGGAATTGTAGATAGGTTTCCTTCCCCAGGTCAGGTTCCCACCCATCCAGCGTTTCTCCCGCAGCATCGAATTGAGATGATACTGTGTCGTCAAAGCAAGGTCAGCAATGCGCTTTCCTCTTCCCGCATTTAAAAAAAAGGCTGATGGAATTGCGAGGAGAAATTGTCTCGCTTATTTCTGGCCCTGAAGGTGTTCTGCTGGCCCTGCTTTCTACCTTAGAGCTGTAACTGTTTATGGTATAAAAAGCAAGATCTGGTGTTCTCCAGTAACACTGAGGGCCTAAATCTTTTTTTTAACGGTGCCCTGTACTGAACCTTTGAGTAACATGTATAGAGTAAGAGTTACAGGGGGAATAATGATCTAGTGCTGGTAGGAAGAATACTGCCAGATCTTAATATATTTTGTCTGCGGGATACAGCGTGAGGAGAATGGTACTCTCTGAATAATGAAGCAATAAACTCAATTAAGCATGCTGTTCAGAAAGGCATTGGAGTGGGAAAGTTGGTGTAATAATAATAACAAATGACAGCTGCAAGACGTGGTCATTGCCCTCAACATCAGGGTAAATGACAGTCCAAGCCGGGATGTCCAGCGCAGGAGATGTGGGCTGTATGGTGAACTGTGTGGGGGAAGCAAGGAGCTCCAGGTACAACACTGCAAAGAGTGTTTATACTGAGCAGATGGATCTGGGGTTGTGCTTCAGTTTGCTGACCTTCACGTAGTCGTTGTCCCCACTCGTGCTATAGCACCTTCTGGCTAAAGCCCCACCGGGTCTGCAAGGGGACTGGCCGTGGTTCACGCTGGGCGCTGGTGCACGGGGCCAAGGGACCACATCTGCAGCAAAGCTGTTACCGTCCGGTAATGCCCTTTAGGGAATAAGTGCACCTGTTTGACTTTGTAAAATAAAATAAAATAAAACAAAATAAAACACGGCCTCTGCTGGCCGTGTGCTGTCTCTGCCAGTATGCACACAAATCCCGTGTCCGCTCGCCATCCAGCTTGGACAGCACAGTGATTCAAATGTCACAATGTAATTGCATGTATTTGGTAATTCGGGATTGAATTAAGCTGTGAAATTGAACCGAGGAGCTGGGGGCCCTACAGGGTCCCTGAGGCTGAGAATGCAGCGTAATGCGAAAAAAAGGAATCGGTTGTTTAGACAGATACCAAGATTATTGCTGGTTGTAAGAGCCCTGGGTATCCTGCTGGGAGGGATGCCCAGCCTCCTGTGGGAGCATGGGAGTCAATCCCTACCTTTCAGAGTCCAAAGTGAGTCATGATGTGGAAGAGAGCTTACTCCCAATTCTTGCCTATTTGGAGTTTCTGAACTTTTATGCTGAAGTTGCTGGTGCTGACCTCTGCCAAAGACAAGAGAGAGGTCTTGGTCCTGTTGAAGAAGGCAATTCCTATGCCCCCAGCTAGGGGTAAGACACATACGTGTCATTAAGACACGTATGTGATTGTGAGTAAAAACATCTGCGGGTGAAGAGTTTGCCAAATGCCCTGGCAATCTGTCTTGGTAGTTAATAACTGGATAATGAAAGAGTCTGCATTTTATCATCTTTTGTTTCAACACTATTGATTTCAATGTCTGCTGCCAGGTGTTTCCTACTTTGATATTACCGCTATAAAACATGCAACTCTTTTTTTTTTTTTTTTTTTGAGATCTGTCTTCTGTGACATTTTCTCTCCTCCATTGAAAGACTGTCTAACACACATCAGTAAAACAAAATAGCACCAACAGAAGTAAGACACCACAGAAAACAAATAACCCAGAAGTGTTGAAGTGTTGCATACCTACATCATTCCTGCAGTCATTTCGGTTACGCTCAGAAATGGCTATTTGCGCGCACAGGTACCGTGCCTACACATATCATTGTACCTAAACACGGCGAATGTCTGGGCTTTTGTATGAGGTATGTAAAAATCAAACTACATTTTTCCTGCAGAAATATCCTGAGGTCTCGGGGAGGTTTCACGTTAGTGGGGCTGGATCCCAGCTGTACTCCTCACCCCTCCAGCAACCGCACCAGAAGTATCACTGAACACTTGAACTGCGGATGCTACAGTCAAGGGCAAAGACTGTAATTTTCTTTGCTCTGGAAGCAGTGTAGTGTAAAAATTCCTACAAGACAACGTAGTTAAAGACTTGTAAATTAGCTTGTGCTTGTATTCGTATGTGTCGAAGAAGAGCCTAATTACATAGTTTTCTTTGCTTAAGTGCACTTACGTTCATGGCCAGTTTCATCAGGAAATGAAGAAAATTTTATCTTGAGGAAAAAAAAAATTAGTTGAGCACTTCTGTTATGGATCAGTCCTAAGTTGTTATTATTTGCTGCTAACGTGGCATAGCTGGTTTCTTGTAAGACTTACTTTTTTCTAAATAAGTCACGTAATTCACACTTATGAATGGAAGGAGAAATGTAGTTTAATTTCAAGGCTTGTTTTCAATTGGGAGGTAGTAATGTGGAAAAAAATGATCTAAGTCAAGACCTTTTGAAAGATGGATCAGGACAGCTGATGTATTAGCGTGCCTTGGGACAGATTACGGTTCTGTCCAGTTTAAAATGTAATTTAAATGAATTAACTTCCACATCTTACAGCTGTGACATGCATCTGTCCTGGACAGGAGCTTGATTTATATTATCTTTATGAAGATGTATCTGTGCACATACTATTATGTGCCATCAATATGCATGTGTTACTTGATTCCCGGAGCTATGACCTGACAGGTGACTCTGTTACTGTCATTTAACTGCTGACACGACTTGTGCCACCGGCCGTGCCGTTAAGCTGTTGTGATGTGACATGACCTGACTTGTAACTCTTACAATGGGTCATGCCTCCTGCTTCTGAAAGACATGGAAGATAAAGTAAGTCGTGAGTAATTCCTCCTGGTCTTGCTGCATCTGCGGGAAAGGGCATCTCCCCGGGTCGTGGCAGGCGCCCCCGCCCCCCCCGGGTTCGGGGCAGCCGCCACTGCCCAGTGCAGCTGTGAGGATGGGGATGTGATGTGTTAGGGGGTTGTTACTGGTCAAGAAAGTTGTACAGCTGTGAGGTTGCCTTAAAGAAGTCTGTCTGACCCCTTGGGGTAACTAGGACTGGAAACACAAGTATCAAAAAATGAGGAATTCACCTGAACTACCGTTAAATAAGTGCAGTTGCACACAGTCACTTCTTGTTCCTACCTGGTAGAGAGAAATGAAAGGAGGGTCTCGCTGTGAAGTCTGATAGCACGGGACCCCACTGTCCCTTGAAACGGGTTGTTATTTGGCCACGCTTTGTGATTTGGTTACATTTACATTTGGGGGCAAAAGACTAGATTTGACTGAATAGTTATAATGGTAATCGTGGCTACGGGATGCTTTCTGCATAAATCTTTAATGTATGCCGTTTTATCTTCCAATCTAATATAGTTTATTCTTATTTTTAAATGTAAACATATGGTAAAATGGTCACATATGAAAGGTCTGAAAAAAGAATCCAGAAACCCCATTTTGCACTTGGTAATTATGCTCATTTTCTTTGATTATATGCTTTGTTCCAATAGCGTATAGAATGGACTCTAGGCGGATACGTGGTTAAAGTTACTTATGGTATTTATCCTGTCTGTGAAGAGATGTTTTGATGGAATGAAAAATCAGATTCAATTTCCTCTGATAAGGCAGAATGTTAATTTTCTCCTCTGCTTCATGAAAGTTCACCGGCATGTTATGAATATTATGGGTGTTACATGCCAATATGACATTTGGAAAAAAAACTCTTCAAACATAATAACAGTAAAGAATCTTTCAACAGTACACGGATGAAGTGGAGCACCAAGCATTAATTTTGCAGATGAGGAAGATGGCGGTAGTCATTTTTTCTTTTTTGGGTGCAATCTGGCTCCTACCCCATGTGAGCAGGCTTCGAGTAGCTTTTCTGCAGATGTGTCTGAGCAGATGAATGCAGCCCAGAAATGATGTTTCCAGGCTGCTGCCATTCCCCAGTAATCACAGCACTGCGCAGCAGCAGGGTTAAGCCAAAGAACGATGCGACGCTTCCTCTCTCCGTTGCAACTAGCCTTTGGTAACTGCATTCTGAAACTTGGG